GTATAATTTAGCAAAGAGAAGAAGTGAAAAACTCAATTTACTATCAAATCAGTACTTGTACCTCTATTATTAAAAGATGCAAGGAGCTTCTCTTTTTGTTACAGACACTAAGTAGAGGGGAAAAGCCCACTTTTAAACTTTAAAAATATAAGAAATGAAAATGATCAAAGGGGAAATATATGACCTTCTCTGAGTGTTTCCAAAATTCCCAATAGTAAATTGAGCCAACACCACATGATAAACAAAAATATCCTTGCAACTGTTTTACTTGGACTTTAAAACTACTAAGTATCTATTCAATTTAATCCTTAAAAAAATTTACATAGGTTAAGTTGCCATTGTCTCAGATACTTCTGTATAATACCTTGAGCAATTTAGCACCTAGGAAAAATGGTAAAATCAGGTAAGATCCCTTTGAATACAGGGTTTTCCTCAAATCTATTTTTAAGTATATTGATAGATACTGTAACTACACCAGTATTCTTTTGGTGACTGGTCTGATTGGTAAAAGAACAAAGATTGAAATTTTCCTAATTTCTTCCATGTAAATAAGAGGACTGTGATTTTATGAGTATAACCCCAATGATGAGAAGCACAACACACGTTTCAGGAATTCCATAATAACATCTTTTATAATAACTAAAAAGAAAACAGAGGAAATAAGATGGAACACAAAAATTATTCAATTAAAACCAAAAGTGCATGAAAAGCAGAAACAGAAATAAAGAACAGATGGGATAAATAGAAAAAAAACAGCAAGATTCTGGTCTTATAATTGAATGCAAGAGCTGAGCCTCAAAGAGCTTAATTGGCAAAAGGCTGCGCAGCTAACAGGTGGTGGGAACCAAGGTTTATGTAAATTGCACCAGAGCACAGTGCACTTCTGATTCTGGCAGAAGTATTAAAGTTTTATGAAATAAAAAAAAATTTCATAAAACTAATATACTTATGTGTTGAAGCGGCTCAGAGAATTGAACTTTTGGATTTCTTTCTGAACTAATGAGCTGAGGCAGGATTTTAAATAAGGATATCAATTTGAGATTTCCCAGTCCCTACAATTATTCAATCAGCATGATGGTTTTTTAAAAAGCTGTGGGGAGGAATAGACTTCACACGGTTATCTTTTGGTAGCCATTTGTTGCAGCTCATTTTACCTTAGATTTTGGTTTAAAAAGGACGTCTATATATGCCTATGGCTATTTACTGTGTTTATGTATCTGCCTCCTGTTACTATTTTTTCTGTATTTAGGCCAGAAATTGACATATTCATTTTATAGTGTTTTATTTAACTGGATTATTTGCCTGTTATCAGCAAGCAAAAGAAAATGCACTTTTTCAGCCAGGCGCGGTGGCTCAAGCCTGTAATCCCAGCACTTTGGGAGGCCGAGACGGGTGGATCACGAGGTCAGGAGATCAAGACCATCCTGGCTAACACGGTGAAACCCCATCTCTACTAAAAAATACAAAAAACTAGCCAGGCGTGGTGGCAGGTGCCTGTAGTTCCAGCTACTGGGGAGGCTGAGGCAGGAGAATGGCGTAAACCCAGGAGGAGGCGCTTGCAGTGAGGTGAGATCCGGCCACTGCACTCCAGCCTGGGCGACAGAGGGAGACTCCGTCTCAAAAAAAAGAAAGAAAACGCACTTTTTCAAGGTACTCAGAGATAACATCTTCCAACTTGAGGGCAAGATTTTCTCAGCTAATTTCACTATCATTTTTATGTAATTATTTTATCATTCTTCATATTAAGTTTTTGTGTGATTTTAGATAACTAATATAATTTGGCAAAGACAAAAGGTGAAGAACTCAAAAACTTATGATCAAATCAGTACTTGTACCTCCAGTATAATTTTAAAAGATGTGAGGCGCTTCTATTACTGTAAGAGATTAAAGAGTACTATAAAGAAAAGTTTGTCAAAAATATCTTTTTTTTTTTTTTTTTGAGACGGAGTCTCACTCTGTCGCCCAGGTTGGAGTGCAGTGGCCGGATCTCAGCTCACTGCAAGCTCTGCCTCCCGGGTTCACGCCATTCTCCTGCCTCAGCCTCCGGAGTAGCTGGGACTACAGGCGCCCGCCACCTCGCCCGGCTAGTTTTTTGTATTTTTTTTAGTAGAGACTGGGTTTCACCGGATTAGCCAGGATGGTCTCGATCTCCTGACCTTGTGATCCGCCTGTCTCGGCCTCCCAAAGTGCTGGGATTACAGGCTTGAGCCACCACACCCGGCCCAAAAATATCTTTATACTCTTATTAATAGCTTTACTAATCAGCAAAACAAGACTTTATTGATCTTTATAAAACTAGTACTGAAATTAGTTAACTACTGAATCATTCTGGTTCCATGATTAAACTGGTTCTGTAGTTGAACTATTGGAAATAACTTCTAAACATAAACTTCCTAATGACTGAAATACATTTATGTCATTTAAATTTTCGCTTCTTGAATACAGTACCTTAAAGATGTTATTAGAACTGTACTTTTCTAATTTTAGAACCATATGCAAACTTGCACTTTTTCCCATCAAAACCAAAAAAAAGGTAACTCTATTACATAAAAAAAATGTTCAACATAGAATAGGTCCAATAAAAAAAGTAACAAAAAAGTACATGAAAAAAATTTTTTAATAAAGAGTAGGTCCAATTTGTTCAGCACAAGCACAAGTTATACCCATGTGGTGTCCAGATCTTTGAGGTATAGACAGTTTCTATATATCATATATGCATATTCTCAGTTCCTAACCAATATTGTGTGGGAAGTATTTCTCTCATACATTTGGATAGTGAATGTATTAAAACTACTTTGGCCAGTACCACAGAATCTCCTAACTCTTTAAACAAAAATTTAAAAAAATCACTACACATTTATATTTTAATAACCAGTGTTTTTTAGGGGAATAGCAACACAATTAATGCTTTAACCTTTTCAAACTCCGTAAGATGCTTTTGTTTTATACCATTAGAATAAAGCATATGCTCAAGTTGAATTTAACTGTCCTATATATCTTATCAAGCAAAGTTAGCTTTTATTTAAAGAAAACATGTTGTCCTTTCTGAAGTCTTGTGACTTCTAACATAAGCCTTCTAACAGAGTAAGTTAAATTGAGGCCCAGCGCCATGGCTCACGCCTGTAATCCCAGCACTTTGGGAGGCCAAGGCAGGTAGACCACTTGAGGTCATCAGGAGTTTGAGACCAGCCCGGCCAACATGATGAAACCCTGTCCTCTACAAAAAGTACAAAAATTAGCCGGGCATGGTGGTGTGCACATGTAGTCCCAGCTACTCGGGAGGCTGAGGCACGAGAATCACTTGAACCTGGGAGGCTGCAGTGAGCTGAGATCATGCCACTGAACTCCAGCCTGGTTGGGCAACAGTGTGAGACTCTGTCTCAAATAAATAAATAAATAAATAAATAAATAAAATTTTAAAAAGAGTAAGTTAAATTTAATGTCAGTTTGCCAAATTAAAACAAATCATTTCATATAAAAAAGTTTTTTCTTTGCTGAAGTATAAGTTCAGATTGATTTCTTTCCATTTTCATGGGATAATACAACAGCCTGGTATGTCCCTAGTGAAATAATAGCTCTAGACATGGTTATCAATGATCACCATTTCATGGAATAATTTTCCATTTTCATGGGATAATTGAACAACCAGGTACGTCCCTAGTAAAATAATAGGTCTAGACAATGGTTATCAATGACTGGTAATATCATAGAAAGAGAGACATAAAACATTGTGTGCATTTAGTTGATGGAAGTATACACGCCACCACCTAAAAGTCTTCTTGCTAAAAATTAAATAAGTAATTAAATCTGAACCTAACTAGGCCTCTAGATCTGAATGTCTCAGAGGGGAAATAAAGGTGACAGAGGAACCTGTTAACACTATGCTGCTGAAAAAAAGGACCTGATTTCTTCAGCAAATAAACTGCAAAGGAGGAAAAAGAGGGAGAGGGAACCTGTAGATGAAAAGAGATTTAAGAGACACAGCAATCATTGGGAGGCCGAGGCGGGTGGATCATGAGGTCAGGAGTTCAAGACCAGCCTGACCAACATGGTGAAACCCAGTCTCTACTAAAAATACAGAAATTAGCTGGGTGTGGTGACATGCACCTGTACTCCCAGCTACTCAGGAGGCTGAGGCAGAAGAATTGCTTGAACCCAGGAGGCAGAGGTTGCAGTGAGCCAAGATCACACCACCTGGGCAACAGAGCAAGATTCCATCTCAAAAAAAAAAAAGACACTGCAATCTATAGACCTCTTTTAAATCCTAAAATCCAAACTTTAGAAAGCGAAAGAAAAAACTGAGTACTTATGAGACAACTGCAGAAATTTAAATAATGACTGAATCCTTATTTATTTATAATGAATTAATATTTTTGATATGATAATGGTACTGTGGTTTTTGTTTTTTAAAAGAGTATCTCTCTGTTAGTGCTGGGCGCAGTGGCTCACTCCCGTAATACCAGCGCTTTGGTAGGCCGAGGTGGGCGGATCACCTGAGGTCAGGAGTTCGAGACTAGCCTGACCAACATGGTGAAACCCTGTCTCTACTAAAAATACAAAATTAGCCAGGCGTGGTGGCACATGCCTGCAATCCCAGCTACTCAGGAGGCTGAGGCAGGAGAACTGCTTGAACCTAGCAGGTGGAGGTTGCAGTGAGCCGAGATTACGCCATTGCACTCCAGTCTAGGCAACAAGAACAAAACTCCGTCTTAAAACGAAACAAAACAAAACTCTCTTTTAGAGATACACATTGAAGTATATGATATATTTGGGATTTATTTCAAAAATAATCTGGGATTATCCAAAAATAGTCTGGGATGGGAGGAAAGGGAGGATGTGGGATATATATAGTGTACAAGTAGCCAAGTTGATAATTATGAAGCCAAAAAAATGGGTACATGAGAGTTTATTACACTATATTCTCTACTTTTAGATGTGCTTGAAACTTTTGTTAAAAAACTGTTAAAAAACAGACATCTAACAAATGCTCATGGTCTTACCTTATCTTTAGATGAAGAATGCTTCTTGGCAGCTCTAGGTTGATGAATATTTTCTACAGTAACATTGCCATTGTATTGATCATGATCAGTCTCCCGTAAACTTCTATATTTATTCATTCTTCCCAAAAGCAAAGGTTTTGAAACCTATGTAAATGCCACGTACAGAACACAAAACCTCTTTAGCAAATAAATTCTGGATGTCCTCATCTTAAAATTTTTAACTGATTTGAAATACAAAAAATTAAATTCTCAAAATAAAAGTGTTTAAGAGTTTAAATTCCTTGAGAATAAAAACCGTATCATACTTTATGCATACTTACACAAACCCCCAAATCAGACTCAATTACAAATACAAACTCAATTATATATAAAAAATAATGACTCTCAGATATCTGGTAATATACTCAACAAATGTTTAAATAAATGATTAAATGTTCTTCACAAAAGCTTCATCATTAGTTTTCTTCTCCTTACCCTTTCTTCAATTATAGGAAGTGAAATATCAATGAACGGATCTTTCACCGTGGAGATCTTAAAAGGAAAACACATTGAAAACTTCAGTTAGAATTCTAACCTAAACACATAGTTTTGTAACTTCCTGGGCAACCTAGTATTTTACATCAAAACATGTTCCTGAAAAAAATAGCGATTTAATTGGGTATTGCAGCACATTGTTAATCGAAACAAGATATTCTCAAACATCACTGAACGTGATCCAATTGAACTTATATTACTGTCAATACGGCCTGTAATATTTAAAATAACTTCAAAATAAACTGTTTAATAAAACAGATTAAAGAGACTAGACATTTTTGGTGAGCTTAGGGCTGTAACATAAGTAAACTATGAAATGTTAAGAAAAAGCCATGAAAAAAAGCAGAGAGCTTGGCTGTGTTTTATAGATTCTTTAAGATAATTCTGTTTTAAAAGATGCTCTCTATCTTGTGAGAGAGAAATCAACTTCTGTGTTGAATAGTCTAGAAACTTAAATAATCATGGTCATACATTCTGTGTTTCAATATGACAGGCTAGAATGAGATATAATTTATAATCCTGCTTCTTTAAGGCTACAGAACACAGAAAAATACTCCATAATCTGGGACAGGAAAATGAATAAAGGCTCCTTTTACTATTAAAATCTAACAGAAATTTAAACCTATCATACTCTAAGTCATACACTTACAGAAATATTCCTTACCAAGCAATTGAAAATCTACAAAAAATTCATACATGCTTTAAGTTGTTAAAGATGGCATTCAAAATAAAAATTATTAAATTCAAAGTGAGTGAAGTCTACACAAAAATCTTTAATACGTCATATAAACTTAAAATCAAATGTGATATAACTACCCTAAATTATGTTAATACATTAAATTATTTATATTGGAATTACGTTTTTTTTTTTGAAGCTGTGTCTCGCTCTGTTGCCCAGGCTGTAGTGCAGTAGCGCAATCTCGGCTCACTGCAACCCCACCTCCTGGGTTCAAGTGATTCTCTTGCCTCAGCCTCCTGAGTCATTGGGACCATAGGCTCCCACCACCATGCCTGGCTAATTGTTTTGTATTCTTTTAAGTAGAGACAGGGTTTCACCATGTTGGCCAGGCTGGTCTTGAATTCCTGACCTCAAGTGATCTGCCGGCCTTGGCCTCCCGAAGTACTGGGATTATAAGCATAAGCCACTGCCCCCAGTCTGGAATTATACTTTAGGGCACTGCAATGTAACATAGTTAGTTACTGTCTTCACAGAAGTTTTTCTCTCAAACAGAGAGCTAATGAATTTCAGTATATTAAGATAAGCTAAAACTGCCTCATAGGTGTGTCATGAGGAAAAATAACACAAAACATATTCACTTTTAAAAATATATAAATTACCACATTTACTTTCTAGGAGTATAGCGTATAAAAAGACTTTCAAGAATTATGTAATCATCTGTCACAAATTTTAAAAATGACTGCCAACAATTATATGTGAAAGAAAATATAATAAAAATGATGTGATTGTAATCCATTCCATGTGAATTGAATTCTAAAGTACCTACATTTGCACATTCTTCACACATGACCGTGCTAGTTAATTCACCAATAAAGATCCGATCTATGAAGTTCATTTTCACACCTTCTTTTCCATATGCTGTAAAAATCATACTTTTTAATGCAAAAAACATGTCAACCATCCATCTAGCAGTATAACAGGCTATCTTCTGGTTATTCAAAAGTAATCTGAATAAGATATTCTGTACTACATTTAATAATATATTTTACTATACATACAATATTCCAATGTCTTTCTCCTTTACAATTTTGTAGCAGATTTATGACTATCAACTATTTTAGTCTCCAAGAAATAATGAACTGTTCTTAAACTTAATACGTAAAACAAAACAATAACCACTATTCCTACCACACCTCAACCACTCCCATTAAAACTTGAAAAATCTCATGTCTAACCAGAAGTACACAGAAGAATGGAAAAGGAGATTATGCTATCAGGACTACGGATGCCAGGATCATGGCTACGAAAATAACAGAGTATCGTAAAACGCAAGTGTAAGGAATTAACATAGGCAATTAACAACTCAGTTAAGAACATGGTTATATTTTTAAAAGTTAAAATTATTCTGCTCAGGAAATATTTATAAATTAAAAAAATATTCTTATGACTTGCTTTAAAATAACCTGAGGTTGGCCGGGCACGGTGGCTCAAGCCTGTAATCCCAGCGCTTTGGGAGGCCGAGGCGGGCGGATCACGAGGTCAGGAGATTGAGACCATCCTGGCTAACATGGTGAAACCCCGTCTCTACTAAAAATACAAAAAAAATTAGCCGGGCGTGGCGGCGGGCGCCTGTAGTCCCAGCTACTCCGGAGGCTGAGGCAGGAGAATGGAGTGAACCCAGGAGGCGGAGCTTGCAGTGAGCCGAGATGGCGCCACTGCACTCCCGTCTGGGGGACAGAGCGAGACTTCGTCTCAAAAAAAAAAAAATATATAACCTGAGGTTGGGAGAAAATAGATTAAACATAAACCATGAATGCAGTTTAAGTTGGGTGACAGATATAAAAGGGCTGCATTATACTATTCTCTCTACTTTAATAAAAATTTGAAACTTGCCATCATAAGCCATGGGAGGAAAAAGTACATTAACAAACCTATTCACCCCTCTTTCAGACTTATTTTTTGAGCCTCTATCTTCAAGTTTCATACAAACAATATTTAAAATCATTTAAAGTATTAGAGCACTGAATGACAGAAAACATATCTGAATATATCAACAAACATTAATTAAAATTGTATTTAAAAATACTATAATAATAAAGATGTTTCATCAAGAAAAACTATAAGCGATTGGAAATAGAGATTACAAAACTGGAAAAGGAGAAAGAAAAACTGGGTTGTTATTCTAAATATCCACGAGATGGCACTATCTCAACACAAAAGAACAAAGCATACTTGAGCAGCTACAGTTTAAAAAAATCTTGAACCTATTAAGGGGTTCAATAAAGTGCAGAGTAACAATGTGTGTATGTTTGTAAATTATAGACCAGTAGTACATACATTATAAAACCACAAAAACAAAAGTTAGGAAAAAATACAAATAATATTTTTAAATATCTTCTAAAAATTACTTCATGCTAACATTAGTTAGCATCTCAATGCAGAATATACACTTAGGGCAAGGTATATAAACCCACACTGTAGTATTGATAATGATAAATAACCAACTTTGATTAGCTAATCATCATTTGGAGCTCATATTTCTATGGATGAATAGCAAACACTAGGAGTAGGCAAAGTGCACTTACACTTGTAGCACTGTCTTCAATAAACGGTTTATTTGCAGGAGTCTTTGGAGCACTTAAGCATTTTGTCTAGCTACATCTAAAAAAAATCCATAAATCCATTGATCCAAACACATGTAAAATGATACAATATAATAAATATGAACTTTCAAGTGTGGTTGCTACTTTCAACAACCTTTCAAGTTTCCCTTAGAAGACCTCACATAAAGGTATCAGTGTCAATCTGTATACATGGTATTAGCTTTATTTTTATAAATTCACATGAATACATTCTAGCATTTTCTATGTTCCACTAAAGTATTTTTCAGACATTGCAGCAACTACGCCCTCCTTTTAAAGCCACTACTTTGGTGTATTAGTTCACATAATGCTCAGTTCTTTTTCCAACTAAAATAAAAATTTAATATTTTCTTACAGAAAAAAGTTTTAACAAAGAGTCAACATACCTTTGACTTTTTTTCTAGTTTCATCATCAGCAGTTTTAGTAGTTGGGTTGTTAAATGCTTTTAGAATGCTAGCTTGTATTCGCTGTAAAACAAAGTTAATAGATTCTGGTCTAGTAATAGTTAACTCAAGCCTCATCCTCCTAATAAAAGAAGGCTCAGAGTAAATTCATTTGCCCTCTTTCTTCCTTCTCCCTGTCTCTAAAATGACACTTCTTAATTAGAACCAAAAAAGAAAATAGACCATATGAAATTTATTGTCTATGAAGACCTTTCTATATTAAGAAGCTATCAAGCTGGTTACTATAATCTTTATGCTATGTGGACTACCTCATTTATATACACATGTAAATAAAGTCCAAACTTATTAATTAATGTCCATAGCAAGAAGAATCTCCCAAATTTTAATTATGGTTTTACTTGAACTTAGTTGTCAATAATGATTTGTCTTCAGCAGCTCTCAGTAAATGTCAAGGTTTATATTATATATTTCTACATCTCTTGTGTATGTTTTAGGAAAGATACAATCTCACAGAAAAGTTTCAGAATAAAACTACATATTCCAAGAATAAAACTTAATAAGTGACCTCTTTACATTAACTATGCCCCTAATTAGTGGATGAATTTTGTCTTCCTAATTCAGATTATGACAGCAGGATGAAGGAAAAGTTTGTTAATTATCTTTCAAAATTTAAATTTTTTTTTTTTTTTTTGAGAGAGGGTCTTGTTTTGTTGCCCAGGCTGGAATGCAGTGGTGTGATCACCACCCACTGGAGCTTTGACCTCCCTGGGTTCAAGTGATCCTCCTGCCTCAGCCTCCCAAGTACCTGGGACTATAGGCACACAGCACGACACCTGACTAATTTGTTTTAAATTTTTTGTAGAGATGGGGTTTTGCCAAGTTGCCTAGGCTGGTCTTAAGCTCCTGAGCTCGCGCAAGCCACCTGCCTCAGCCTCCCAAAGTGCTGGAATTACAGGCATAAGCTGTCACACCTGGGTTTTCTTGTTTTTTGTTTTTTGTAGAGACAGGCTCTTCCTATGTTGCCCATCTAATAAATCAGTTTGATATATTAAGTGAAAAAAGACAAAGTACAAAAAGTTATATATATGGTATATGCCACCTTTTGAATAAAGAAAAAAAGAGCATAAAGGAAGAAAGACAAGAACATGGGATGTAAACAACGGCAAGGCCAAAACACAAGAGAGGCAAAGGGAACTCCCGGGAGCATGGTTAGGAGGAATTCCAGAAGGATATGTGTACATCAGATATGAGAGGTAAAGAACCCAGATTGGAGCAAGAGACTTATGAATCAGACATATTGTCAACACCAAGATTCCCTTCTGCCATTATAACATGCTTTTAATCTAAGAACACAATATATGGAGAAGGAGGTGCTCATGTTCTTATTCTTGCTCCATGCCCTGCTGCCTGGATGAGCAGAAGACACTCGTGACCCCTCAGAATTGTTCTGCTGTGTATAATTTATGTTTCTTCTGTGTATGATATATGTTTTTTTTAACACATTCTCCTCCAATAATTGTGAAACCGACTTTCACTTATTATTAACTGGCCTGTGATTAACACATTATATTTCTAACCGACAATGTATTATAGTAATAAATCTTTAATAAAAAGGTAATATTAATTTATTGACTGCAAATTATAAGGAAAAAACAAAGAAGCATAAATTTATAAATTAAAAAGACTGCCTTATAAAAGAACTACTTCTAGGAAATTTGATTTTGTACACGAAAAATTTACAATTTCTGCACAAATGATCCCTTAAGTACTATATTCAGCAAGAGTCTATTCCTCAACTTTGTAGTTCAGAAAAGACTTTAATGAAACCATATGAAAGGAGGTCAGTAGTTTTTCATCATTACTAAAAGATTCTGGTGGCAGACATAACATTGTAGCCTTTCTTCAATCAAGAAAACACATGGCAGTGACACACTACAACAAGAGCACGATTAACAGCTGTGGAGTTCCCAGGCCAGACAATGCAGCTCCTGCCCCGATAGTCACTGTAGCTGACCGTCAGGACTGTCCTCGCTTATGAAATTGAACAGATCCACAGACTTGACATTTTAATTTTACTGCACCATCTAAAGCTCTCAAATAGTGCAAGAAAGATAAGAGTTTTCAAAACCAACGTGTCCTGCTGTGCTGCCTAAGATACTGTGCATCCCACTGCACCATTATGACCAAACAATAATTTTATTATAACAAAGACTGCTATCAAATTATAGAGGTAAAATAGAAAAAAAATGACAGGAATATATTTTACTTTTTTTTATAATATCAACAGAAAAAAAAAAAAACCCAAGACATAATTTTAATCCATTCACATGACTTTTAACTTCACTCACTTTTTTTTTTTTTTTTTTTTTTTTGAGAATGTGTCTCACTCCCTCACCCAGGCTAGAGTGCAGTGCCACGATCTCGGCTCACTGCAACCTCCACCCTGAGTTCAAGCAATTCTCCTGCCTCAGTCTCCTGAGTAGCTAGGATTACAGGCACACGCCACCACGCTTAGCTAATTTTTGTATTTTTAGTAGACACGGGGTTTCACCATGTTGGCCAAGCTGGTCTCAAACTCCTGACCTCCGGTGATCCGCCCACCTCAGCCTTCCAAACTGCTGGGATTACAGGAATGAGCCACCATGCCCAGCCCACTTACATAATTTTTAATTCCATTTAATGATACATGACCACCACATAGTAAATGTATTCCTGCAAACCCCAGGAAAAAAATAACTCTAGCAATTGATAAATCTGAATTAATGTTAAAGTAACTCATATCATCTGTAGGCCCATTTATTGTTTATAATATGAACAGCAACCTGTTTCAACCCTGCCAACATGCATCTACCCCCTCAACAAGAACAGCAATATATCATAATTATTGAATCCGATTTAATACTTTTTCAAATAGTAAAATAATTATGGTTACATTTCAAATAGCAGGCTTAGAATCATTATTTCTACTGACTACAGATGTCCAAGCATTAAAACTAAACTTCAATCAGCAGTATTTTATAGAATTAGAAAGATCATTAGTTTGGGAGTCAGAAAGACTTGAGTTTGAAGCTCAACTATAAGTATCAGTTCCTAGCTCTAAGAAAATTTGATCAAATACTAACTAGGGGATTATGCTAATATCCTCAATGGTTAACTAATTATAAATCTCTTTTTTTTCTTTTTTAGACACAATGTAGGTAAAATGACACAGTATTATCCTGTCAGTTTATCAGTTTATTCAAATACAACATATTCAAAATAATTGCAAATCACAAAGAAACTAGCTACTACAACATATAAGAATAATTATTTTGATTTCTTCCCAATTCAGATTCTCAAAAGAAGTTGTGTTTAAGGTTAAGCACATACAACTCATTCAAAAAATGTTCACAGGGAGCCTGGAGTGGCAGCTCATGCCTGTGATCCCAGCACTTTGGGAGGTCAAGGCAGGCAGATTACTTGAGGTCAGGAGTTCGACACCAGCCTGGCCAAAGTAGTAAAACCCTGTCTCTACTAAAAATACAAAAAAAAAAAAAAAATTAGCCAGGCTTGGTGATATATGTCTGTAATCCCAGCTATTCAAGAGGCTGAGGCTGAGGCAGGAGAATCACTTGACCCCAGGAGGTTGGAGGTTACAGTGAGCCGAGATCACACCACCACACTTCAGCCTAAGCAGCAGAGTAAGACACTGTCTAAATAAATAAATAAGCAAGCCTAGTCAACATAGTGAAACCCCATTTCTACTAAAAGTACAAAAATTAGCTGGGAATGGTGGCACACACCTGTAATCCCAGCTGCTTGGGAGGCTGAGGCAGGAGAATCACTTGAACCTGGGAGGCAGAGGTTGCAGTGAGGTGAGATCATGCCACTGCACTCCAGGCTGGGTGACAGAGTGAGACCCTGTGTCAAAAAAAAAAAAAAACCAAAAAAAAACCACACACAAACAAAAATTCACAGAACACCTACTATGTGCAAGGCATACAGGACAGAGACAATACATAATACCATTCCTCAAACAGATCACAATCTAAGAAAGCTGACAGACAGGGACATTAAATAAAAAGTGGTAGCATTTATGATCAATTACATAAAAGTAGAGAAGTGGCAGAAAGGGAATGATACCTCTAAAAGCTGAATTAGCTTAATAAGAAAGTCAATAAACAGATAATTAAAAACGGACAATTAAAAATAGGATTGTGATACGTGACGTTTTGTAGCAGGAGAGAGTAATTAACTCAATCCTTATTTTTAAAGGAAACTTTAAAGAAAATGTTAGAACTCTAATTTTCTCTTCACTGGAAATTGGTCACTGTCAGGCCTCTGAGCCCAAGTTAAGCCATTATATCCCCAGTAACCTGCACGTATACATCCAGATGTCCTGAAGCAACTGAAGATCCACAGACGTGAAAATAGCTTAATTGATGACATTCCACCATTGTGATTTGTTTCTACCCCATCCTAACTGATCAATGTTCTTTATAATCTCCCCCACCCTTAAGCAGTTTCTTTGTAATTCTCCCCACCCTTGAGAATGTACTTTGTGAGATCCACCCCCTGACCCCAAAACATTGCTCTTAACTCCACTGCCTATCCCAAAACCTATAAGAACTCATGATAATCCCATCACCTTTGCTGACTCCTTTTTCGGACTCAGCCCGCCTGCACCCAGGTGAAATAAACAGCCATGTTGCTCACACAAAGCCTGTTTGGTGATCTCTTCACACGGACACATGAAACAGTCACTAGGAGTAAAGAGACACTGCCACACAACAATTAAAACACAGGATTTTTGTTGTTTTTTGAGGTAGGCCCTTGCTCTGTTGCCCAGGCTGGAGTGCAGTGGTGCGATCACAGCGCACTGCAACCTCCGCCTCTCAGGTTCAAGTGGTTCTCATGCTTCAGTCACCCGAGAAGCTGGGATTACAGGTGTGCACCACCACGCCTGGCCAATTTTTGTGTTTTTAGTAGACACATGGTTTCACCATGTTGACCAGGCTGGTCTGAAATTCCTGAGCTCAAGTGATCCACCCACCTTGGCCTCCCAGAGTGCTGGAATTACAAGCATGAGCCACCATACCTGGCAGAATTTTTTTTTAAAAAAGGAAGGTCAATCATGCCTAGCACTACTTATCACAAGCATGTATGTACTTCACTGAACACTTGGCTGCTTTTATTACATATTACCATACAGATTAAGAAGCATATTTGCCTTGAATGGAAAACAGGTTTTCACCTATTATTCCAGTTATGACTGACAAGGGCTGCCCACAGTGGTGTGCTCAGAAAATAATTCTGGACTGTTAGGAACGATTAACAATGTCTTTTATGAGTAAGAGGGAGGAAAATGGAGAGTGCGTACTGTGTATCTGACATCCTTAATATCTTACATTTTCTCTGATAAACTGAATCCTATGTGCATAGGAAACCCCTCCCGAGAAGAAGTTGAATTTAACTAATTTAACATTAAAGTCAATAAAGAGCCAATCATTTAGGGGATAGGCCTACAATCAACACTGTTTGGGGAATCTATCCAGTCCATGAGCTATTCCTTTTCTGAGAAATCCTCTCTCATCCAAGAGGCTGGGACTCCTCTCTCCTAGCCACAAACAACTGATCCATGAGTGGAATCTAATCCAACATGGAATAATGAAGTTTCTCTCCACTGAGAATTTAAAAATCAAGAATCATGAAGAGCCAATATAGTTTTTACATACATGGAACTATGACATACAAATACTGCTTGGTCTGCATGGAGAAAAATGAAGAAAATTATCTACAGAGCCAGAGAAACTAGGATAAGAAGAAGAATGCTTTCTGGATTCCTGACAGCTTTCCTGTTCCTATATCCCCCAGGAATATCTCCCTGCATCTTAAGATTCCCTATTCTTTTTTTTTTTTTTTTTAAACGGCATTTCACTCTGTCACCCAGGCTGGAGTAGAGTGGCACGATCTTGGCTCACTGCAACCTCCACCTCCGGGGTTCAAGCGTTTATCTTGCCTCAGCCTCCCAAGTAGCTGGGATTACAGGCGCACGCTACCACATCTGGCTAATTTTTATATTTTTAGTAGAGACAGGGTTTCACCATGTTTCCCAGGCTGGTCTTGAACTCCTGACCTCAGGTGATCCACCTGCCTCAGCCTTCCAAAGTGTTGGGATTACAGGCATGAGCCACCATGCCTGGCCACAATTCCTTTTTACTTAAGCTAGTTTAAATTACTTTATTTACAGCCAAAGGGCATTAACGAAAAAGGACAGTAGGGCTGTAAAAAGATAAAGGTGAATATCTTACAGAAGAAAGAAAAAATATCTAGAAGATTTATTCTAAAAAATTAAATTATTTCTCAACTGTACTTTTAAATTGTAGTAGAAATTACTTGTTTTTTGTTTGTTTGTTTGTTTTTTGAGACACAGTCTTACTCTGTCACCCAGGCTGGAGTAATGCAGTAGCATGACCTCGGCTCACTGCAACCTCTGCCTCCTGAGTTCAAGCAATTCTCATGTCTCAGCCTGCCAAGTAGCTGGAATTACAGGCATGCACCACCATACCTGGCTAATTTTTATGTTTTAGTAGAGAGGAGGTTTCACCATATTGGCTAGGCTGGTCTCAAACTCCTGACCTCAGATGATACACCCCGCCTTGACCCCTCAATACTTCCTTAGTTTTGTATCCTCTTCTTGAAGAGAATATATGATATACATAAAGAAACCTGACCTTTGTTTCTTCTGTCCTCACTGCATCCAGAAGATAATGAAGAAGCTCCTGACTGTCCTGTTGCTGGAAATCTTTAAATCGAGGTGCCCTGTGATGTAAAGACAAAAGAGGAAAGAAAAAAAGCATAATCATTCCATGGTTCAACACTCTTGTCTAAATGCACTTGAAATAGCATATTATTAGCTGGGTGCGGCAGCCTACACCTGTAATCCCAGCACTTTGGGAGGCTGAGGGGCAGATTACTTGAGCTCAGGAGTTCAGGACCAGCCTGGGCAACAAGGCAAAACCCCGTTCTCTACCAAAACACACACCCACACACACAAAATGGCATAAAGACGCAGTTTACTACTTTTCCAACTAAATAGACAAAATGTGATTACTGGTCCAATTAGGGTGTGATCTTAAGTGTGCACTGAGAATACGGCTATCATTTATTAAGCAATTACTACATGTTAAGCACAATACTAGTAGTTTTTCACACGTTCAGGCATAATCCTCCAACAACTTTGTTGGGATGTACTGTTTTCTCCAACTTACACGCGAGGACTCAGCAGTATTGTTTAAATCATTTGCAAGGTCATATGGCTGGCAAATAAACCAGTATTCAAACCCAAGCCACAGTGATTTATTATCTTCCTACCTTAACCAAAAGGAAAGCGAGAGAGTATTTATATTCAAATAAAGGACTATAAGTTGATCTCCCTGTGAATATATTTTTTACGGACTTGATAATTAAAATTCCTCTGTATTAATTTAATAGAAAGATCAGGTACTATTCATGGAGACACTGACATAGGAAATATGTGGTTGATTTCAGTTACTTTAAAAAGTAATCTACAGTAAACTCTAATGCTAAAATGAACATTTTGCCTTAAGTGCAGACAAGTATTAAATCTAGAAAGTGCCCTGACCTAAGATGAAGAAATAATTGTCAAAACACAAAAGAATGAGAATAGACTATAGAAGACAAATTCACAACTATTGATGATATTTATAACATATCTCATGTGATATACAAAACAGCACTGTTCAGGAATTTATAATTAATATAAGTTCTACTTTATGCTTGAGAAAACTGAAGAACAAGCTAAGTGCCACTAATGTAACTACAGGTCTTTTGACTGAGTGCAGTACTTAATTATTTTTAATTATTATCTTATTTTTGTGAGACGGAGTTTCACTCTGTCACCCAGGCTGGAGTGCAGTGGCACAAACTCAGCTCACTGCAACCTCCGCCTCCCGGATTCAAGTAATTCTCCTGCCTCAGCCTCCTGAGTGACTGGGACTACAGTTGCCTGCCACACCTGCCATCGTGCGTGGCTAATTTCTGTATTTTTAGTACAGGTGGGGTTTCACCATGTTGGCCAGGCTGCTCTCGAACTCCTGACCTCAAATGATCCACCCACCTCAGTCTCTCAAAGTGCTGGAATTACAGGCATAAGCCATCACGCCCGGCCAAGTGCAGTACTTTCAGCATTATTCTTCATTATCTCAGGATAAATATTCATCCTAATAATACAAAGAAAGTGAGTCCCTGACTGCTAAAACATTAACTGGTAGTCAATCTAGCCTGTAAGAGGAAACACCACTCCAGACATTCTTGCTAACTAGCAGCACATAGCAACATGCCGACAATACTTTATTACCTTGATGGGCTTCCCTACCTGCACGTGGTGTCCAGAACGTACCTCCTAGATTAGAGATGAGGACAGAAATCAAGATGGACACATATTCTAATCCTATCTGGACCTCCACAGCTGGCATCAGGAGAGGCAGAAACTGCAGAACCCTGCACTTATGCTGTACACTCCAAGGAAGGCCAGTGAAGTAGCAGACGACTAGAATAGGGAGCAGGAGAATCCTTTAGAGATCTTCACTAGCCAGGGGTAGGTAGGAGGAGGGGGCAGTTTATGGCTTTCAAAACAGACACACAAGAAGGAAATCATTCCTCAACAAAGAGAAACAGCTTCCACCATGTCTCTGCCTATAGCTCCATCTCAACCACTGCAAAAACTATTTACTGCCTTCTAAACCACTGAAGAAAATTTAATAAACTTAGATTTGCTTTTTCTTTTTTACCTAGGAATGGGCAAAAAAAAAAATCACAGGATGATTTATAGACTCTATGATGGAGCCCGTCTGAGCTACCCACATCAAGAGAGACTTTCAAACCTATTAAAGGATTAAAAGAGAAAAATCACCAAACATATGAAAATATTCAACCTATTCAAAATAAGGGGAACACTAAGGATTCCCAGGAAATGTACTTTAGTAAAAGTACTGCCATGAGAAAGAGGAGAGGACTTTTGAAAACCTCAAGGCATAAGAGAAAAATACATGTACAAGCATAAATTATGAGACTGTCAAGAAAAAGAAATTTAATCCACTTCTATGTTCATCACAGTGCTATTCACAATAGCAAAGACATGGAATCAACCTAGGTGCCCATAAATGGTGGATTGGATAAAGAAAATGTGGTCCATATACACCATGGAATACTACACAGCCATAAAAAAAAGAACAAAATGATGTCCTTTGCAGCAAGCAACATGGAAGCAGCTGAAAGCTGTCACCCTAAGTGAACTAATGCAGAAGCAGAAAACCAAATAAAACAAACAAAAAACACAAAGTTGAAGACCTTGCTCCCAAATAAGGCTCATCACAAGTGGTCAAAGTGTCTGATAATCACCACTGTAATAGAAACTTCAAGAGACTGGTTCACGTACACACAACATGAATAAACCACAAATTTTGCCAAGTGAAAGAAGTCAGATAAAAAAGAGTACACCCTGTATGATTCCATTTCTATAGAATTCCCCCAAATGCAAACTAATCTATTGCAACAAAAACACAGGTAAGGGGTATACCACCCAGGGATGGAGTTTAGGGGAGAGGTTCCAGAGAAAGGGATTACAAAGGGGCCCCACAAAACTTTGGGGGGTGATGGATACATTCATTATATTGAATGAATGTACGTATACACACACACACACACACAAAGTGTATAGATATGTCAAAACTTATCCAATAGTATATTTTTCAGCGAGACGGGGTGACAGGAGTGCAATGACACTAACAGCTCACTGTACACTCAAAACTCCTAGGCTCAAGTGATCCACCTACCTCAGCCTCTAGAGTAGCTGGGACTACAGGTGTGCACCATCACAGCTCTGGCAAATTTTTTTTTTTCATAGAGTTTGAGTCTCCCTGTGTTGTCCTGGTTAGTCTCAAACTCCTGGCCTCAGGCAGTTCTCCCACCTTGGCTCCCAAACTGCTGGGATTACAGTGTGAGCCACTGTGTCTGGCCCCAATAGTACACTTTAAATATGTACAATTTACTTTATGTCAAATATACCTTAGTAAAGCTAGTCAGAATATCCACCAATATAATTTACTATTCCAACAGACAAAAAAAAAAAACCAAAAAAAAACCATGATTGTTTTGATATAGAAAAAGTATTTTTTAAAAATCCATTTCTTGATAAGAACTCTCAGAAAAAAAGAAAAACTAAGAATAATTGGGAATTTCCTCAACCTGATAAATATCAGGAATAAGGCAAGACACCCATTTCACCATTCCAACATTGTATTGGCAGTCCTTTTTCATTTTTTTTCCAAGAAGAGTCCTATTGCAATATGTATTGTATTGGTTGTCCTTGCCAGTGATATAAAATGAGAAAAAGATATAAGATGATACAGATTGGAAAGAAATAAAACAATCTTCATTTGCCAATGACATTATTGTCTATATAAGAAATACCAACGAATCAGCAAAAAGCTAATAGAACTAGTAAAGCAAGTTGGGTAGGGTAGCAAGAAACAAGGTCAGCATACAAAAATCAACTGTATTTCTGTATACTAACAATGAACAATTGGAAAGTGAATTTTTTAAAAAGAGTATCATTTACAATAAATAGCATAAAAACATGAAATTCTTAAGATAAATCTAACAAAACAAATGCAGGATTTGTATGCTGAAAACTATACAACCTTGATGAGAAAAATCAAAGACCTAGAAAACTGGTAAGATACCATACATTAAAAGATTCAACATTGTTAAGATGTTGATTCTCCCCAAATTGATCTTCACATTCAAAACAATCCCAACTGACAATCTGATTCTATACTTTACATAGAAAAAAAAAGGACCAGTCGGGTGCAGTGGCTCACACCTGTAACCCCAGCACTTTGGGAGGCCAAGGCAGGCAGATCACCTGAGGTTGGGAGTTCAAGACCAGCCTGACCAACGTGGAGAAACCTGTCGCTAGTAAAAACACAAAATTAGCCAGGCATGGTGGCGGGCGCCTGTAATCCCAGCTACTCGGGAGGCTGAGGCAGGAGAATTGCTTGAACCCAGGAGGTGGAGGTTGCAGTGAGCCAAGATCATGCCATTGCACTCCAGCCCGGGCAACAAGAGTGAACCTCTGTCTCAAAAAAACAAAAACAAAAAAAACCTGGAATAGTTTGAAAAGGATGACCAAAATTTGAGAACTCACATTACTCAATTGCAAGACTTACTATGAAGCTACAGTAATCAGGACAGTGTAGGCTTTGGGGTAAAGACAAGACATACAGATCAATGAAACAGAATATAGTTCAGAAATAAACCCAAACACATCTGGCTTAAATCTTTACCTGATTACCTGGCCGGGCACGGTGGCTCACACCTGTAATCCCAGTACTTTGGGAGGCTGAGGTGGGCAGATCACAAGGTCAGGAGATAGAGACTATCCTGACTAACACAGTGAAACCCCATCTCTACTAAAAATACAAAAAATTAGCCAGGCGTGGTGGCGGGCGCCTGTAGTCCCAGCTACTCGGGAAGCTGAGGCAGGAGAATGGCATGAACCCAGGAGGCGGAGCTTATAATGAGCAGAGATCGCACGACTGTACTACAGCCTGGGTGATAAAGCGAGACTCCGCCTCAAAAAAAAAAAAAACAAATTTATCTAATGCATACTTCTTTTAAAAGTAAACGCCATAAAACAAACAAAAAGAAAGCAATTTAAAACTTTTCCGCCAAGCATGGATGCTCATGCCTGTAATCCCAGCTACTTGGGAGGTTGAACAGGGAGGAATGCTGGAGCCCAGGAATTCGACTATGATCAGGCCACTGCACTTGAGCCTGGGCACAGAGCGAGACCCTGTCTCCTAAAAAATACAAAAAATAAATAAAACTCTTCAAATAATGTTTGATCTAGTTATTCTATTTCTAAGAATTTATCCTACAGATGTACTTCCGCAAGTACAGTGTATACATACAAAACTAAGTTATACACACACGTACTAACATGGAAAAAATATACTAAGCAAATCAAGCAAGTTGCAAACGATTTGCATATGCCTGTGTATGTATAATCACTTTTGGAAAGAATCAGATAATAGTTACTTCTGAGGAGTATAGAGAGGAGTTTGAATTTTTACCTATGAGTGCCCATTATTTAATAATAATTTTCAAAATGCTAATAAACCTTTATAACCAGGAAGAAAATTATACAAGTTATTTCTGGCAAAGTCAGAAACAAATTTCTAAAGCATACAATGCCCTAATAACTTTGTTTTAATTTCAACTTTTATTTTAGATGCAAGGGGTACATGTGCAGGTTTGTTACCTGCAGGTATATTGTTTGATGCTGAGGTCTGGGGTACGAATGACCCTGTCACTCAAGTACTAAGCATAGTATCCAACAGCTAGTTTTTCAACCCTTCCTCCCTCAACCTCTCCCACCTCTAGTAGTCCCCAGTTTCTATTATTGCCATCTTTATGTCCGTGAGTACCCAATGTTTAGCTTCTACTTGTAAGTGAGAACATGTGGTATCTGGTTTTCTGTTCCTGCATTAATTCCCTTAGGATAATGGCCTCCAGCTGCATCCATGTTGCTGCAAATAACATGATTTCATTCTTTATTATGGCTGTGCTAAAAACTTTTTAACTCTGCAAAACACTCATGCCTCTGAGACTTTTGCAGGTTTTTTGGTCTTCAGGCTTTGAAGAAACATCATTTGCCAACCAAATGAAACATACACTAAGCCCTCTATTTTGGACTATATATAAAAATCATGGCATTCATTACTAGTTTTAACTAAAATGAGATTTTAAAGTCTATAAATATGCAAAAATGCAAGCTCATATTCAAATAATTTTCCTTCTACATATTTCAGTAACTGTGGACTGGACTAGCTTGTGAATTCCATGAGGACAGGGTGCATTTGTGATGCAATATACATTGTGTACCCCTGAATTCTAGCAAGTAACTCATAAAAAGCAAGCTCTGAATTTTTTATATAAATGAATACATGAATGCATTAAAGTCAAGTCAGTTCCTTTATGTGTTTATTTCTAGGCACACAAGGATTTGGTTTTTAAACATACTGTAATACCTTGAGAAATTCACTTAAATTCTATTTGCCTCACAGCTCATCTTTTAAAATAAGAAAGCAAGATTAGATGGTATCTTACAGTACTTTCTAGATTTTACAACTCTATGATTTTCTTACTTTATGGTATTACAATAAAGGCATCCAAGTCAGGATAGACCTCTATTTGATTCTCAGCTTTTCACTCAGACTAGGTGAGCCATTTAATTTCTGTGTCTCCATTTCCTTATATATGAGCATAATCTGCTTCTTCTGAGGATTGAGATATAATTTTCATAAAGCATAGAGCTACAACTAATAAATGTTAGTTCTTTCTCTTGATAGTCTGGGCAGTAATAGCAAAGTTACAGTAAGAATGACTATTCATGTTAAGTGATAAACACATTAGTATTTTGTAACTCATAATTACTTATATTAAAAATGTAGATGCACCCACTTCTGACAAAGCTGATTAAAAAGAACGTTAGGAGAAAGTGGTCCTTTTTCAGTCTCCTTCATGCTGTGAAGAAACAGGAACAAGGCTGAGGTCAGTGGTCCAGGCCTTGAAAGTTCCACCACTAACGGGTCCTTTAAAAACATGATCAACTCTATGTCAGAAATGTACAGTTTAAAAATAACATACTAAAAATCTCAGTTACACTCTGCTTAAATAACAGCAACTAAATTCCCCCAACTATATTAAGAAACTTTATTATTTCATAAATAAAATGAATATATAAAAATGGAAAACAGAATACCTGCCTTGAAAAACACAGGTATTTTCATCTCCTCTGCCCTTTGCTTAATAAAACTATTAGCTCCAACTAAAGTCACCAACCTTTAGTTGCTTCTCACTGTCCTTTAATGTACTCTCCTGTAAAATCACTAATCTACTTAATATTTGTAGATTATTAAATAATGCATGATTATTTGTGTATGATGTATGATTGATTATACAACTTTCTTTTCCCCAAATATTTTACTAGTAAAATAATAATGTGGAATCACATGACAAAATCAGCATAACATCTCCCTCTTTTAAAGGGGAGAGACATAAAGCTTGACAAAAGCGGCTAACATTGGGTGAAGGATTAACCCATTTAATTCCAGAATATTTTTTCCCCCTAGAAATCTGGTTTCTAAAGTATTATCCCCACCAATAACACTTTCTCCTAAAGGACAAGGAATAGAAAGGACATCCCAATATAAACTCAGGACATTAAAGAATGTTATCTTCTAAGACAACTATTGAATGTGTTTTCCTATTCCTGTATTCATGAAATAACTGTTACATATGTAGTTCATACCAACTATCCTTAAAAATCCACTATCATCACAGGAAGGACAAGCTATAATTTTCCATAGCTTTTTTATTGTTAAGAGACAGGGTTGCCCAGGCTGGTCTTGAACTCCTAAGGCTCAAGCAATCCCCCCGCCTCGGCCTCCCAAGTAGCTGGGATCACAGGCATGAGCCACCACACCCAGTGAAAATTACAGAGGACTCAAGACAGACTTTTGGTTTTTTTGAGACAAAGTCTCACTCTGTCACCCACGCTGGAGTACAGTGGTGCAATCGGCTCACTGTAACTTCAAACTCTTGGACCCAAGTGATCCTCCTGCCTCCACCTCCTGAGCAGCTGGGACTACAGATGCATGCCAGTATATCCAGTTAATTTTTAAAATTTTTGTAGAGACTGGGGTCGGGGGGGGTCTCACTTTGTTGCCCAGGCTGGTCTTAAACTCCTGGCTTCAAGTGATCCTCCCACCCCGGCCTCCCAAACTGCTAGGGGATTACAAGAATGAGTCATGGGGCTCGGCCTTCCATAGCTTTTGAATGTCAAAAGTGCTTTTCTGGGCTGGGTGCTATGACTCACATCTGTAATCTACACACTTTGGGAGGCCAAGGTGGAAGGATCACTTGAGCCCAGAGTGGGAGGCCCACTTGGGCAACACAGGGAGACCCTGTCTCTGCAAAAAAAATTTAAAAATTAGCCAGGTGTAGCGGCACGTGCCTGTGGTCCCAGTTACTCAGGAGGCTGAAGTGGGAGGATCCCTTAAGCCCGGGCTGCAATTAGCCATGATGGCACCACTGCACCCCAGCCTAAGTGACAGAATGAGACTCTGTCTCCAAAAAAAAAAAAAAAAAAAGTTTTCTCTGCTGCTGTAAACCTAAAACTGCTCTAAAAAATAAAGTCTATTTTTTTTAAAGTGTTTTCTGCCATGTTAACTGAAAGTTACCTCAAGGGTCAAAAGTAAAATCTAAGGCAATTTTAAAGTTCAAGTACCAAGTTGCACTTCCCCTTTTCCCAGTGAAAGTATTTTTTAGACAGAATAAAAAACCTTCAGAATAAGATGAGGAAATAACCTTAGTTTTAAAAACTACATTTAGACCTGATACAGTGGCTCACGCCTGTAATCCCAGCATTTTGGGAGGCCGAGGCAGGCAGATCACTTGAGGTCAGGAGTTTGAGACCAGCCTGGCTAACATGGTGAAACCCCGTCTCCACTAAAAATACAAAAAAAAAAAAAAAAAAAAAAAAATTAGCTGGGTGTGGTGGCATGCATCTGTGGTCCCAGCTATTCGGGAAGCTGAGGCAGGACAACTGCTTGAACCTAGGAGGCGGAGGTTGCAGTGAGCGGAGATTGTGCCACTGCACTCCAGTCTGGGTGACAGAGCAAGACTCCAACTCAATAAATAAATAAATAAAATAAAAATAAAAAATACACTTAAACTTTGAAAATAAAAGTTTGCTGAAAACGCAAGAAGGATGAATTTCACACACAATGTTGATAGAAAGAAGCCAAATGCAAAAGAATGTACATAGTAAGATTCCATTTAGATGCAGTATTAAAACAGGCAAAACTAATCTATCCTGTTAGAAATCAGGCTAGTGGTTACTCATGTGGGTTAGGTAAGTAGTGAATGGAGGGGGAAGTTGAAGGGGCCTTGCAAATGCTGGTAAGGTTACTTGAGCAAGGTGTTAGTTACACAAGTGTGTTAGCTGTGAAAATTCATCAAGCTATACACTCATAATATACATTTTAAAGAATATTTTCATTAAAAAGTTTTCCAAACACATTGTTGACATGCACATAAATATTAAATTGAATCCAGCAGCATATAAAAATATCATAACTAACTGGGGTTTGTAACAGGAATACAGGATAGGTTTAACATTTGAAAAAGGAATCAATGTAATTCACCACATTAACAGAATAGAGAAGAAAAACCATATGATCATCTCAATAGATGTGGGGAAAGCATTTGACAAAATTCAACATCCATTCTGATAAAAGTTTCAGAAAACTAGCAGTAGAAGGGAATGTCCTCAACCTTATAAAGAACACCTCTGAAAATCCTACCTTCATATGTAATAATGGGAGAAGACTGAGTGCTTTTTCCCCTAATTTTGGGATTAAGGCAAGGCTGACTGCTCCCATCATCTCTATTCAACACGTTACTGGAGGTCTGAGCCAGCACAAAAAGGTAAAGAAAAAGAAAGAAAAGGTATATAGACAAAAGACAAAGATAAACTGGCGATTCAAAGGGCAGTAACCTACTCAAAGAGTAGTCCCACAGCTCAGGTCAACTTTATGCCCTAAAAATCTAAGACGTAAGATTGAAATTACCCTGTTAGAATGATACAAACCTAAAGTTATTAAATACAGTATCTAACTGCCATATAGTAATCCTGAGACACAGCTCTGCATGTCAAATATTTAAACTCAACATCCAATCGCATTTAACAGGAAATCACATTTAATAGGTCTTTTTAAATGACTAGGCAATAACTTCCCTTTAGTAGTTTCAAGGATCTCACTACACTTTATTTAGAATAGGGCATTGGAATCTATCATTAAATTTTTAAGGGGCTGAACAAGAAATGTTTACAGGCTGCTTTTCAACTATACATACATATATATATATGGTAAACATATGTATAGTAAATATATATGGAGGTTATTATAGATACAACAGTATGTTTTATATATAATACTGTCTTTCAAAGCTATATATATATATATCTCAGTACTGTCTTTCAAAACTGCCTACTGAGAAAAACAATCTAAGACTACTAAGCATTTTTAGAGAGCTAAGCATTTTTAGAACTCTTCTTTAATTGTTTTCAAAAGTCAGATCATGAGTTATACATATACTCTCTTACACACACACACACACACACGCTGAACAATTTCTCACTAAAATTATCCTTACTAGTATAAATACCGCCCCTCCCCCCAGCCCCCAGCCAAAGCCCGTCAGAAACACACCTATCCTTAAACTAGGTGGGTTTATTACTTGTGGCAGTGAGGGAGATCACACAGCATGGGGAACCACAGGGTGTCCTAGTAACAGGGTGCTATAAAGAACCTACCCAGGATTTAGGCTTTGGTTGAATAATCTGAAGGTGGGTTTCAGGAAGCAGAGGTTTACTCTAGAGTGAATGCCCTCAGAAAGTGAGGGTAAATCTATTACTGAACATCTCAATAAATCTTACATATCGTGACAGTTGGTGGGGGAGACTAAAATGAGGATAAATCTCTAACTCGTAAAGTAGCAGTCATTCATTTCTCATTTTGGCTGAAGGAGGGTGTTTGAGATTTTCTAAATGGCAAAGTGACCTTGCTTTAGACAAAATCATGAAGTGGCCTTGCTTTCTCTCATTTCATCGTAGTCTCAGAGAAACCTAGTATCAGATTATTATTCTGTGAGATTATCTGAATAACATGGACTAACTGTGGGTGCCAGGTCAGCTTCTGAATATCAGGGGCTGCTCTTTTTTTCATCTTTCTCACTCGCTTAAAAATATATCATCAGGCTAGGCTTCAAAAAACCTTTAGATGCTCACTATTAAAATTTCATCTCCCTTTAAAGAATAAAAATGCTAAATTTAAACAAATGTCACCAGAAACTACAAAATAGGGGTCATAGGCATTTTGCTCAATAGAAGTCAAACCTCTTTTGTTTCTTCCAGTATGTTTGTTTTAAAGTTGTCTTGGTATCTTTTTTATTATTTGACCCATGGCATATTGGAACCATAACATACCCTAAAGTTATGATTTTAGAAATTTTAAATCTGATTATTTTCACAGAATGCTTTTAAATTATTTTTTAAGTCCCCTGACTACTATCTTAGTTGACTGATCTGTGAATTAGGAAAAAAGATTTTGGTAACATCAGTGGCTCATCTGAAAGCAGCTATTATTCAGTTATTACTCACCAGCTGAGAGTCTGAGGAAGGAAAAATCTTGAGTTTTGTACTACTTTCTTTGATCTCATTCATCAGATCAGTAAGAGTATAAGTCTGTGCCAAGTTCTAAAAGAAAACAAAATTAAAGTCTTCAGATTCAGTTAAAATATGCCTCTGATTTTATGGAATACACTCTCAAATTTCATCTAGCATAGCAAAAATGTCTATTTCAAAAAATATTAAGATGTAGTTGAGTACATTTTACATTTCGTAAAGGTCACTATTACCGATAAAGCCATGGTAAAATACACAGAAGACCTTTCAAGAAGCACTGTGTGAAAATAAGGTACATATATACATAGGGCGATGGCCCAAGATAGCATAAACAAAGGAAAACCGAGAAATTTCTAGAGGAACATTTAGCAGTCATTTGACAGTCTACAGGTGAGCCAATGATCATATAAATTAAGAGAATTTTTTACATATTACAAAGCTTTCTGATGACTCTTACCTGCATGACTGCATTAAAAAAGCAAGTATTTCCTAAATTTGTAATTCCTCTTACAGATGATAAACTTCTGCCTTTTCCTCCCTTCTTTATTTCATCTGTTTCACATTTTTCTTCACAAAGTTTCATGATTCTAGAAAATGCACCTACAAGTTAGAGAAAAAATAACTGACACATGATGTAAAGTTAAATATATGTCATTTAACATAATTTATATACATTAATTAAAATTAAATTTAAATAAGATTGTCTCTCTCAATCAGTATTCCTGAAGGGGAAGAATATAAACACAACTGTCTTTGGTTTTATATTTCATTGCTAGAGAAATTAATTTAAACTTTGGTATACAGATCTGTACCTCACACTATATTACAGAATAAATTGTAGATGAATTTAAAAACTAAATGTAAAAGAACAGTTGAGAACAAGTAGAAAAGGTCTAACTTCTAAATACCATTCCCCATGATAAGGAATAAGGACTTCTAGGGGAAAAGGCTGATTCTTAACCCGGGGTAGCAAAGATGCAAAATGATCCCATAACATTTTGCCATGCCAGAGAATAAGGAAGTGCTCAAAAAGTGTGATTGGGAATAAGTCAAAATACACAGGGATTTTGACCAGGCTCGTTCAATTCAGGATAATTTGACAATAAAAATAAGTAAGGGTAGTATAATAGATTATTATTAACAGTAATCCCAGCACTTTGGGAGGCCGGGGCGGGTGGATCGCGAGGTCAGGAGATCGAGACCATCCTGGCTAACACGGTGAAACCCTGTCTCTACTAAAAAAAAATACAAAAAACTAGCCAGGCAAGGTGGCGGACGCCTGTGGTCCCAGCTACTCGGGAGGCTGAGGCAGGAGAATGGCGTGAACCCGGGAGGCGGAGCTTGCAGTGAGCTGAGATCCGGCCACTGCACTCCAGCCTGGGCGACAGAGCGAGACTCCGTCTCAACAAAAAAAAAAAAAAAAGAATGAATCTGAATTGGTAACAGATTTTTTAAGTGAGGAAAAGTAGGGAAGAGACTTCCTTATAAGAGAATACCAGCTAATAGAAGAAATGACAGAATTAGGAAAATCACCATCCTATACTGGCAATTTTTGTATTATTCTTGCAACATTTCTGTGAATTTGAAAAGGTTCATATTAAAAGTTTTAAAAAAATCAATAGAACCACACTGTAATACAAAAAGTAAAATACCTAAGTGTATGACACGTAAGTGCATGTTTTGTGCTTACAGATTTGTATAATTAATGCAGATTTGAAAATTACATTAGGCTGGCCACGGTGCCTCAGGCCTGTAATTCCAGCACTTTGGGAAGCTGAGGCAGGTGGATCACTTGAGGTCAGGAGTTCGAGACCAGCCTGGCCAACATAGTGAAATCCCATCTCTACTAAAAATACAAAAATTAGCTAGGCGTGGTGGAACGCGCGCCTGAAATCCCAACTACTCAGGAGGCTGAGGCATGAGAATCGCTTGAACCTGGGAGGCAGAAGTTACACTGAGCTGAGATCATGCCACTGTACTCCAGTCCGGGTGACAGAGTGAGACTCTGTCTCAAAAGAAAAAAAGAAAATTATATTATCAGTTCATGTTTACTAATATGAAAACAAAGAACAATTCCTAACATTTACTGACATGGTTGACTACATGTATTTAGCAGATTACTCTCTGAATCAAAATTATGATAATTTGAAGTTTGACAAGAAATTCCCAAGTTCTGAAATGTTTTAGTTTTAACTAGATGTTCTTTTAAATTCCCTTCAGCCCTCAGATTTTTTCTTTTTAAAAAAACAGTGTCTCACTTTGTAGCCCAGGCTGAAGTGCAGTGGTGCAATCTCAGCTCAGTGCAATCTCCACCTCCCAAGTTTAAGTGATTCTCATGTCTCAGCCTCCCGAGAAGCTGAGATTACAGGTGCCCACTACCACACCCAGCTAATTTTTGTATTTTTGTTTTTTTTGTGTTTTGTTTTTCTTTTTTAGTAGAGAAGGGGTTTTACCATGTTGACCAGCTGGTCTCAAACTCCTGACCTCAAGTGATCCAGCTGCCTCGGGCTCCTAAAGTGCTGGAATTACAGGTGTGAGCCACTGTAGCCGGCCAGCCCTCAGATTTTCTAGTTCATTACAATTACATGTTTTTTCACCCAATACTGACATGCTGCCTTGCATTACTAATTAACTTTTAAATATTTGGCTGACTGATGGAAATAGGGGAACATCTCTTACTATTGCTCTTCCTGCCAAAGGGGTACAGCACTGGGGGGACTGTTCATGATAAAAATTCAAAACACATAAAAACCTGCAAGATTAAACAGCATAACTAGTAGGTTAGCTTCTTACGTCTCTGACAAGTTAGGAGGAAATAAATTACGACACCTGCCCTACTTCTGTAAACAGTATTAAAGGAGATGAACTGGAGTGGGAGTGGCCCTGTTCTAAGGAGCAGGAAGTGCTGGGATTACAGGTGTGAGCCACCGCGCCCAGCAGAAGATGTTTCTTTCATTAAGCAAACCTATTTCATGGAAAAGAGTTTTAAGTTCTAACAACTTTTATCCTGTGCTGCAATAGTTTTTATAAACCCTATTAACTAGCTTTCCCCCTTATTCCTGGTGTTTTTATTCTTTTAATGTTATTGGTTGTTACTGGAATCTGTTGTCCAGATATTAAGGAGTTGTTTTTAACTCCCAACTCCAGAATCCTGAGTTAAAGCAGAAAAGAACTAGCAAGATAGGTCTCTTCTCCTGTCCTCCAAATATTATAATAAATAAGAAATAAACCCCACACTAGAGCTTGGGGGCAAAGGCCAGCACAATCAATGAAGTGGGTCACTGAAGTACAAACACCAGGCATGGAAAAAAGGAAAAGGGGGAAGAGGCCAGGTAGTGTTCAAATGAATATAAAAGCAAATGAAAATAGCCAGTCAGTACTTAAGAAGCACTACACAAACAAGAGGAACCCTCATATGGATGCTGGCTGGGTTTCCAGACAAGACAGTCTGCCTCTTGTTTATATCTGAGCCTGTACATAGAACCTAGAATAGGAAGGGTTCAGACTCTCATTATTGCTGTTGCCAATAGGTGGTTTCACAGTGATTTCTGAGAGATTTAAGATGGGAGAGAAATTAAATCGAAGCATTACTCAATTTTTTCAGGCTGTGAACTCTGATTTTACATTTAGAAAACTCAGTCTCCAACAGGTTAAGTGATTTGCCCAAGGTCACAATGATAATCTTCTGATTATAAATTCATTGTCATTTTATCACCTAAATTCTCTTCAGTGATTTATGTACAATGAGAAGAATTATAAAAGACAATAGGACAAGATTCTTACAGATTTGGGTATATGCAACGCTAAACAAATATGACTCCTTAAAAATGTCTTCTTTAACTTTTTTTTTGGCTTCTTCCAAAACATGAAACAGACTTAACATTCTTAATAAGTGTTGCCACAATATTTTTTTAGCTTATTAACATGAAAACAGAATGTCTGGAAGAAATAACTTACAGATAATAACTATATATGTTTTATATACTTATGAAACATATATACACATGACGCCCATTGGGCCTGTTTTAAAAAACATTAAAAAATACATATATACACAGACACATTATTCACTTGGGAAAATACTCCTGGAAATAAATTATATTTTAATCTTGCAAAGACACATAACATTTTAAAAACCATAATATGCAAATGATTTATGTATCTGTGTGCCACATTTATCCAACAGTTTTCAAAACATCTGGGATGGAATCCCAAAGTAAACAATGTTCACAAGACCATCTGGACAAAACTGCAGGCAAAATAAAGCATAAACATATGGAAAAACAGATTTTTTCCCCCTCCCTTCAGCGGTAAGGGATGACAAATGTCAAACCTAGATATATCCACGCTTCACTGTGCGATGCTTTTCAGCACCACCTGGCTCTCCATGCATAGCCACCAAATATGGACAGCACTGCCAGAAAGAACATACCCACAGGGCAATGGCAATAAAAAGAGTTTATTTCATGGTTAAATAGCCACTTCACACAAGTGGCAAGGGTCTGTTTGTTGACTTTTACATGTAAGTCTGTGAGAAAATATTAAAAATTATGCTATTAAACAGATAACATAATTTAACTAGAAAATACAATAATTTTTTTTTTTTTTTTTTTGAGATAGAGTCTTGCTCTGTCTCCCAGGCTGGAGTGCAGTGGTGTGATCTCAGCTCCACTGCAACCTCTGCCTCCCAGATTCAAGTGATTCTCGTGCCTCAGTCTCCCGAGTAGTTGGGATTACAGGCGCACACCACCATGCCTAATTTTTTGTATTTTTAGTAGAGATGGGGTTTCATCACATTGGCCAGGCTGGTCTCGAAATCCTGATCTCAAGTGATGTGCCTGCCTCGGCCTCCCAAAGCACTGGGATTACAGGAGTGAGCCCCCGCACTTGGCCAGAATAACATCTCTAAGAGTTATTTAAGTGTTTTACTTAAAATAAAAGTGCGAGTCTTAAATTTTACTGAGTAGTACATTTATAAAATGTAACAACTTAAATTGATTTATCAATGCCCTCTGTGTATCAGGCACTATATGAACCACTATAACTGTTTACACCCAATTTCTTATTTATGACTGGAGTATAAAGAATTGATACATAGTGAACAGCAGAGACTTTAGGCCTTAATTTTTTTTTTTTTTTTTTCTTTGAGACGGAGTCTCAGTGTGTTGCCCAGGCTAAAGTGCAGTGGCACAATCTTGGCTCACTGCAACCTCTGCTTCCTGGGTTCAAGCAATTCTTCTGTCTCAGCCTCCCAAGTAACTGGGATTATAGGCGCACACCACCATGCCTGGCTAATTTTATATTTTTAGTAGAGATGGGCTTTCACCATGTTGGCCAGGCTGGTCTTGAACTCCTGACCTCAGGTGATCCACCTTCCTTGGCCTCCCAAAGTGCTGGGATTACAGGCATGAGCCACCATGCTTGGCCAAGCCTTAAATTTATGATAACTAATATCTCAGGAAAACATATGGAAACTAAATATACTTGTGGTACATGTGTTTACTAAGAAGCTGTCAACTGAGAGTTTATAATTCTAGTTTAAAACAGGGATGTCTGAATCAGTCTCAATTATTTGACATTCATGCAGGTATGTATGTATG